GCTGCAAGCAAGCGGAGGGAGCATTACCAACAGAGAGTTCTATCCACGACCATAGAGGCACATTCCGCGATAACTGGATGGGAGGAGAAATGGGCAGCTATTTATAATCATTGTGCTTTTCCCATTGATGTGGGCGTAACTCTTCAGAAAAGGGGTGCTCCAATGAGCAAGGTACAATGATAGTAAGTGTACATCTCTTCCTCCACCTCTCCAATATTCGCGGACTGGTCCTTCAACGACTTATGCGAGAATAGCTGTGCGGGATGGATTGCTAGTGATATCCAGTTAAGGCCAGGTTACTCTTATGCCGGGGGTTCTGGACCATCAACATGAACGGGTGCCTAGTACAGGTATTCGTTGGTTGCCGTTTTTGAACCATTACCATCCGACAGAGCAGCCCGTGCCAGGGCATAACGTTGTTTGGGATTCCCCATAACGGGGGGGGGGGGGGGTCGTACTTGTCCGCTGGGAGAGAGAGGAGGGATCGTATCCTTTCTGACCTCCTGATGGAGGTTGCTGACCTTTGACTTTTCGTGGTTTTCTATTTCATGTGTACTAATATACTGCTCCTCCCATCCTCGCTCGACAGCAAAATTTTTGGGAAAAAGTGGAAGAATTCTCGGGAAATTCCCGAAAAATAGGCAGGAAGTTGAGGAAAATCGTAAGAAATGGTCGAGAGGGGGTTCGTATTTTTTGACAGCTCGATGAGGAGGGAACCAAGAAGAAGGGGTCTTACCAACCCCATCCCCAACTAACCATGCCTCGTGCTAATTACCGCTTGATCACCGCGCGCTTTGTTGTCCTAAAACGCGCACACCTTCATATTCAGGCCGCGATATCACTTTGGGTCAGCTGCTAATCTTTGAAAATCAAAAATGGTTGGAACTCACCCGTTGTGCGAGTTCATCCTTTCTGGCGCGATGACATTTGGAGAATTGGTGATTGGGCTGTAACCAGCGATACCAGCTCCTGACCCTGGAATTCGATAGAAATTTTGTGAAATTCTGTGAATTCATTAGAGTTACCTCTGCCTTGAGCTGTTTGCGATTCAGCGCCGTCAATTCCATTTCGGTCTTCAATTTGTGTCACTTCCTCCATTTTCCTCCATTCCTCTTCGTGCCTGATCCGCTCGGCTTCGAGGCGTTGCTGCTCCAACTTTCTGAGCCTTTCCTGCTCTTCGAGTTCCTTTTGCCATTGCTTTTCTCGTTCTTCTCTTTCCTTCTTTTGCCTCTCTTCATTTTGACGGGCTAGCTGTTGTCTCTGTTGTTCTTCTCTCTCCTTCTTTTGTCTCTCTTCATTTTGCCGGGCTATCTGCTGTTGTCTCTGTTGTTCTTCTCTTTCCTTCTTTTGTCTCTCTTCATTTTGCCGGGCTATCTGCTGTTGTCTCTGTTCTTCTTCTCTCTCCTTCTTTTGCCTCTCTTCGATCTCCTGAGCCAATTTCTGCTTTCGCAATCGTTCCTCTCTTTCTTTCCTGAGCCTCTCTTCGACCTGCTTGGCTATTTTCTGCTTCTTTTCTCTTTCTTCCCTATCTTTTCTTTGCTTCTCTTCTATTTGCAGGTAAACTTTGTACTGTCTCTCCTGCTCTTTCCTTTGCCTTTCTTCGACCTCACGAGCAAGCTGCCGCTGTCGCTCTTGATATTCTCTTTCCTTCTCCTTCTTTTGTTTCTCTTCGATTTCCCATGCAAGTCGCTGCTGCCTCTCCAGTTCTTCTCGTTCCTTCTTCTGCCTCTCTTCTATCTGTCTAGCTAGTTCTTCCTGCCTTTTCCTTTCTTCCCTCTCTTTCCTTTTATCCTCTTCAATCAATCGCTGCAAGTCTTTCTGCCTTTGTTCCTCCTTTTTCCTGTTCCTTTCCCTCTCTTCGATCTGCTGTGCAATTTGCCGATCTCTTTCCAGCTTCTCCCTCTCCTTCTTTTGCATCTGCTCAAGTTGTCGCATCGCCTCCTGCTGTCTCTCCCATTCTTGTCTCTCTTTCTTTAGCCTCTCCTCGGATTGTCGGGCTCCTTGTTGTTGTTCAAGTCTTTCTCTCTCTTTCCTCTCCGCCATCTCTTGCAGTATTTCATTCTGTCGCTGTTTCTCTAGACGTATCCTGTCAACTTCAATACGCTTCTGAAGCTCATTCGTGTGCTTCAAAAAGGCTGTCTGATCCTCCACAAAGTTATTTCTCTCCTCAGGTCTGGTCCCCATAAGGATCTCTACTGGTCTCTTGCTGGATTCATTTTCTTCTTTGATACCGTCGATGGCTATCTGATGAGCTTTGACCAGTCGTAGTAGTTCATGCAGGAAGTCTTGCTCATTTCCTTGATGACTTATACTCTGCTGAACGGTGGCTACACCCTCTGAAGTGAACTGTGGATGAATTGGCCCTTGGTTGGTGAACGCATAATTCGTTGGATAAGCCTTGGTCATATGTGATTCACTGAATGGTATCGCCCTTGAGGTATCCGGGTAAGCGAATGGAGTTTGCTGACCCAGTGGCTGCTGACCAAGGGCCTGTTGACCCTGGGTTAACTCTGCAGCTGGCCACAGAGTCGGATGTACGAGTGGAGCTGTGGCGAATGTGGCGATTTTTCGGGTGGGAGGTGTAAATGCGGGGCTGTAGGGAGTTAACGATGGCATCCGAGGTGTGGATGATGGGAGCGGTGCTGTTGTGGTTATCGGAGGCGGCGCAGTCGTGGTCCGTGATGGCATCAGAGGCGGAGGACTTGGAAACGTTGTAGAATGTGAAATAGGCACCGAAACTGGAGATGCAGTAGTGGTCAACAAAGGGCCTTTCGTTGGACGAGGCCGTTTTGGTCTTCGAGTTGAGAAGATGAACTCTTCAGTAATCGGTATCGCCTCTTCCTGGGTGCGTCGCCGTGTCTGAAATAGGAAAATAGTGACAATTAGAGACTATTAAGCAAACGTGGTATTTCCCTAGTGTTCCCTATTAAAAAAATAAATAAAATAAAATAAATAAATAAA